TTTTGTGCTATTTTACTGCAAGCTTCTTAGTGCATCTGGACCCCTTTATACAACCATGGTGAATCCTGACCTCACACAACCAGTGTGAGCTGCACGTGGGTTCAATGAGTGAAGACACATGTCCAAACGCTTGACTTCTGAAGTAATTCAACACGTTTTGCCTTCCCAGTCTGATAACATTTCCAGCTCCAGCTCCACTTTGTTTCCCGCTGTTAAGTGGGCTTCTATCCCTCTTTTTTTATATCCAGTCCCATGATCAAGATTACAGCACAAGCTACAAGCTCCTTCAGTGAATAAATTTAACACATCTTCATTTGGAAATGTGTGAGCAAACTATCTGCCAGGAGCTTTTGCTGGAACATAGCTGCATTATAATAAAAGTATAAAAGTTGGAAACGTTTTATAACTCATTTTCCAGAGGAGAGAAAAAAAAAAGTCTCCTCTGAAATATCTTGTGAATCATGTGAAAGTTAACACTTTATCTATTAGTGTCACACAGCTATCATATGGCATGTTCGACCAGGGAAACGAACACACAAACGTGCTGCAGGGACAACTACATCAGAACCAAACACCAGCACCTACCTTCTCGTTTGGCTCCAGCCTAGCCAACTTCTAGAATAACGTTTTCTCTCCTCTTCCATTTAAGGCACACGGATAAAACACAAACCAAAGAACTAAAGAACGCTCCTTTCAACATATTTAACTACAGTCTCTGTACTTGGTCTCAGACCACGGCTGCAGCACATTACTCAAGTGGGCTATTAAGCAAGAAGTAACTGTCCTGCACATTCTGAGATTTGGAATAGGTCTGTAAAAAAAAAGTTAACCTGAAATTCTTCACAGGTGCCAACTGCTATGTTTCCCTTTGCTTCAGCACTAATGTTAAACACTAATTTCTCTGCATGATCCCGTGTAAGTCAGAGCTGCTGAGTTCTCCAGAAGAAGAGATGAGGTTTTAGCCAGCCAACAAAAAGATTGTCCGAAAAGAGACATTATCCTCCTTCATATCCAAAGCCAAGGCAATCTCACAAAACTTATTAAATCTTTGAATCATCTCAAACCAACCTGCAGGAACAGGTATTTGTTAGGATTTCATGTGTGCAGAGCCACTTGGAGGCAAGGTACAGAGGATCGGCCGTCAGGAGCCTGAGGAGGGTTTTACACACCAGGCAGCACAATAGAACAACGCAGACACACAGCAGGACCATCCCAAATTCCCATCTTAGACACATCTCTGATGTATCTCCGATCCCATTCCACTCTCCTAGGGCTAATTTTTCAGATGCAGGCTCAGACAATAGCCACAGCTGCTCTCCTTAGCATGACTGCCCAGGCAACCTCTGAGACCTCCAGCCATCCACCGCAATCCTTTCACTGGGGACGGTATCTCGACAGTCTTCAGCAACCAAATTCAGAGTAAACAACACCATGAGTGAGGATTTCCATCTCAGGTCTTCCAGGTTTTACATGAAAATCCCTATCCACAAAGGGAAAACTCTCTTATCTGTTTTCTGCGTGAGACAGAATATCATCTACTCGGATATGGGGATCTTTTCCAAAGTTACTGCCCATAATTTATCCTCAGATAATGGCCCAAACAAGGATTTCTATCTGCCCACATATCAGCAGTTTCTCTTTTGCTCACTGTTAAGAAACCACACTCAATCTATTTCCCTAACAGGTCACGATGTTATTTAATAATACTGTGACAAAAACCAGCAGAGCCTATTTACAGGAAACTGGTTTACACCTGAAGAACATATGCCTGCTGCTCTCTGGCTCAGCGGAAACCAGCGCACGCAGCAGTGGGCAAACTCCCCACCCAAAAACCACCCCTGGAACACCGACCAAAGTAAAACAGGATTTTGTTCTCATACACTTAAAATGGGCAAAAATAAAGTGAACTGGTGTCATCAGCTGGGTCTGACACTTGCAGCTTTTACCTCCTTATAGACTCTGGAAAAACACAAACGAGACGACATGTGCTCTGCCCCCGTTTGATGAATTAAAGAACTGTGGTCTCCTGCTGCTGTGAAAAATAACACGGCTGGGACATCGGGGAGAGACCGACCAGCAGCTGCCGTTCTGCCCGAGTTCTGTATGGCATCTCTTAGAGAAGAGGATACGTTTCCTTAACTCTTAAAATAAAAAAAAAACACACGTACAGAGAACTCAACAGCAAGCTTAGCGGACTTGAGTAAACCAGAATTGCTCATAAACACTAGTTTCATTCCTTAAAACTTGCTTCCAAATATTTGCTTAGTCATTAAGACGTAAATCTTCAGTTACTCTCCTAAAAAAGAGCTGCATATTCCTTATCTGAGCCAGAACACAGTAATTCATCAACATGTTTGTTTTTTATATAATTTACATTTAGAGATGAAAACATTTATCTAAACACACAAAATATTTGCTGAAAGTAACACTGCACGAAAATCTATTTTTTTTTAAGTCAGGAGGGCACAGTCAGGCAGACCCGATGAGAAGTTCAGAACTGAAATAAAAGTGTTACTTCTTGCACAAAGCCTACAATTACTCTTTCTTATCGTACTTCTTTAAAGAAACAAATGAAACATTCCAACTGCAGATTCAGAAAGTAAAATACTGCACATAGAGGAAGGAAATAAAGCAAACTAACCAATAATGGAGAAAAACCTTCACCTCCCTGGCCACTGTAAAGACAGAGTAAAGCAAAAACCAAAATCAAGGAAACACAAACTTAAGAAAATATCTCGTATTTGATAAATGATGTTCATTATTAAGGGATAGGAAATCAATATCTGGAGCATGAAAGTAGGTTTAATTGTTCAAGATGTAATACAGAAGTTTATTACTGTATCTAACAATTATTCTTTTCCCTGTAAAACAGGAGAGGGGAAACCACAGCCACATTAAAGGCTACACTGCATATTGGTGACAATGCATTTTCCTTCACACTGCTCCCGTTAAGACAGTGAATCATGAGTTTTAAAAGCATTTTCTTACTGCTTTTGTTATTTTTTTAACAGAGGGTTTATTTTGGACAGAAATTCTAAACCCAAAACAATATCAAGAGAATAGGAGTTGTTCTTATTCCAGCATAACCAATTTACACAACGAGCGACATCCAGTAATCTCACATCTGCAGCTTGACAGGAGGTTCACCTTGCATTGCCCATTTACTGGTTTCCTCACCAGTGCAACCAGGAAACATGCAAATGTATGCGCCCCCAAACAGCCTACAAAAGTGAAGTTATTGTGTTTCCTTTCTTCTAGCGGCAGTTCATTTCAGGGGCAGAGGACCACAAATAAATCAAGAGATTGGATACATAATCTGTTGTAGTGATACGAAACAAGGATGTTGAAATTAAGGTTGCGATGTACTGGAAAAACACCATATGACTCTAATCAACAACTGAGCCTGCAAGCTACAATTAACCCATCAGCATTATTTATTAAACTTGATGCAACCTCTGAGGTCCCCGAACGCCAGGCACCAGCCCAGAGATAGGGCACGGACAGGGCTCGACTGCCTGGGAGAGGCAGAGCCACCAGATAAACCGCAGCCACGGCTACTTAGAGGCTTTTTCCATAACATTTGCCCCTGGGGTACCCCAGCTGCTCTCAGTAAATTTAGCACAGAGAGTAGGACCAGTAACAGAGTGAGAGATTCTAGACAGAGCCCTCAATACAAGATGGGCTTCAGCTACATATCACCTTCCTCCTCCTCCGGTGTAGCATGTCTGATCCTCTGCCCTGGCACGGGTTCAGGAGCACATCCCAGCTGCCAGAGAGATGCAGGCAATAGCAGGGTGTGATGGCAGGGTGAGATGCCAGGGTGCCTCTGTGGGGCACTGCCCAGCTCCACGTGTAGCACTGCAGCAGGTACAGCCCCCACGCCCGCAGAAGCAGGGACCCAAACCACAGTTCAGGGGGAAACACACAGGGATCTTCCAGTTTAAGGACATGATGTATTTTTAGCCATCCCCGTTTCTCAGCCAGCCTGTATTTATGCAGCGGAAGCTGCCCTGCTCTTGTGTTACCAGCAGAGGTGAAATGCAGGAGACTGAGAAGCCACATGCAGGAGTTGGAAGACTCAACTCCATAGGGCACAGCCAGACCTCAGGTAAGCTGGGCAGACAGTGAGCTACAAAGGTTATCATCAAATTCTCCAAAGCTGGAGGGAAAAACATGGCACTTGGATCAGCTACAGCTCTTCAACCTTCTTCACCTTGAGATGTAACAGGAAAAGAGTCCAACACGTCAGTGTAAAACAATAGGGAGTGAAGTTAAACCATGAATCACTAAGAAGACGACAGCCTAAAGAATAGCTTTACTTGGCATTACCCCAAGCAACTTCTAAGGTCACTCTGCACATCATCACTTGTGTCAC